AATGGGACCCTTAAGGTCAAAGCAACAACAAACAACCCTTTGCTTCCAGGTAAAACTGACTCCATGATTCTGCCAGGAAATGGGAACTCCTCCAGGACTGTACACAGAAATGAGGAAAAAAACCAGGAATTTCTGCCCTGGAAAACACAGCTGCTCACATACAAAGAGTTGGATGCAGAGAAAGCAGCAACCTGAATCCTTCTGGGCTCAAACCCACCCTCACACATGCCAGGGAATGCCAGCAGTGCCACCCTCCCATTCCCCAGGGACCCTCCCCACCTTCTGGAGGTGCTGCAGCCTCGGGTGAGTCTCCCTCCTCCAGCCCCATCCCGCTGCTCGTTTTGGAAGCACCAGAGGGACGTGGGGCTCCTTTGGTCTCCACCCCCTGGTTCTTCATCACAGCCTTTCGGCCCTGTCAGACTCTGCAGAAACAAACAGCGACTTTAGGAACGTTTGGAGGGCTTGGGGAGCCATCCACCTGGACTGGGAAGGAGCAGGAGCTCCCACCACAGCTCTGTGCCGAGGAAAGCAGGGCCTGGTTCCCAGTTTGTACCTCTTGGATTTCAGAGCTGACAGAGAAACCCCCTCGCTGGGGTGGGGACACAGAAACCAGAGCATCCCCAGCAGAGAGGTCAATTCCTGCTGAGCCCAAAACCCCAGGCAAGGAGAACCCAAAATCCCAGCTCTTCATCCCCATCCCCTCTCCCTCTGCAGAGCTTGGATGTTCTCACCCTTCTCACCCTCTGCTCTGCTTATGACACTAATTATGGGCTGAGGATGCTGATGCTCCTGGTCTAGAGGGGAGGGGCTGTTCCCAGTTTGGAGCTCAGGACAGTTCCAAGCCCAGGCTGTTCCTATTTTGGAGGTGAGGGGCTGCTCCCACTTTGGAGCTCAGGACAGTTCCACATCCAGGCTGTTCCCCGAGCAGTGGGACCCCCTTCCCGTGCCCCCCCGCTCCCCGCAGCAGTCCCACCGGGCCCATCCCCTCCCGGTGCTCCTCCCGGCAGACAAACCCGAGGGCAGAGCGGCGGCGGAGCCCGGCCCGTGTCACCGCCCACGTGCGGGATCTGCGGGGCAGCGCCTTCACCCGCACCTGCCCCGCGCCTCGGGCGCTGCTTTTCCGCTGCTGCTGCAACGGGAGCGGCTCCCGGGCGGGAACCGGGGCCCGGGAGCCATAACCGGGGCTCGGGGGGTGGCAACAACCGGGGCTCGGGGGGAGATCACCGGAGCTCGGGGGAGGGGTTAACCGGGGCTCGGGGGGCGATAACCAGGTTCGAGGGGCGATCACCGGCCCCGCAGCACCCCTGGCCCCCCGGCCCATCGCCCCTTTGGTCCCGGCCCCGCTCCCCCCCGCCCCGTTACACCGGGACGCGGCTCCCGGTGCCCCCCACCCCCCTCCGTTATCACCCCCGGGGCTCGGCCCAGCCGCCGGTGCCGCCCCCGCCCTCACAACCCCGCGACCCCCTCCCTCCCCCGCCCTTGACGTCA